GCCAGGGCAAAAGACACCAGGTGTGCTTATGAAGCCAGATATTGAGTTAGATTAGTATTTCTGTTAGAGCCTTCTGCACAAATTAAATGACCAACTACCAGTAGATATACATTTACTTTAGCATACTGTAACATATATTTATTCACTGTTTAAGCACTTCTGGTTGGATGCAAACTGCATTTCGTTGCTTTGTACTTGTGACATGTGCAATGACAATAAAGTTGAATCTAATATAATGAAGCTGTTCAGGCTACTTCTCTGATCATAGGTTTTAATTTGGTGCCCATCGGAAAATACACAGTGGTGTTAAAATCGCCTTTTTCCCACTAATCAGTAGGTAATACTATGACCCTGAGGTAATATTCACATATGCAGCTGTTCAGGCCAGGACTGTGATCATTGGTTTAAATTTTGGTGCCGATTGGACAATGGACAGTGGAGTTATGACAACTTAGTCTGCTTTGGTGGAGGATCAACTTAGCTGCCCCTCAATTTTTACATGGTTTAAGGAAATGTCACAATCCTGACCATGTTCTTAGAGCGTGTCTGAGCTCATTTGAGCTGTGTATTGTAAAGCAGCCAGCAAGCAGGCATCAATGTATTAAACATGTCACTTCCTGTCGCCAGCAGGTGGTGCTGACACGATGAGTCAATATTGACATATGGATTTGTTAAGAGCGGGACTGTAATCGTGTGAGTGTGGCTTTTGAGGCTGATTGGAAAATGCACAGAGGAGTTATAATAAATCCCTCTCTTTTGGCAAATCATCAAACTTGACACTGACGTGCCACGCTCAGACCGTGTGATGCACTTTTGGCTAGTTGGCTTTCACTGATGTACACGAAAATTGGTACAGAAATGGGGTAGTTTTAATCTCCATCTTGTTAAGATGACATTCACCGAATTTGAAGTTGATCTAAAGAAAGCTGTAGAAGTTCGTTAAAACACACATCCTGTAAAATTGCCAAAATGGCCTACAAGTGGGTTTTTCACAATGCCCCTTGAGATTTTTTTGTTTATCTGGTGTTGATGCACTTCTGTGCCAATTTCCGTGTACATCAGTGAAAGCCAACTCAGGGGCTGTGTTCTAGTGCATCGTAAGTGGCGCTGTTCACTCAATTTGTCACGCCCATTTCAAATTACTCCAGAATAGGTAAATCTTCACCACTAAATAGCCACCAATAGCCTGCAAAATTTCATGAGTTTTTGAGTTTTTGATGTTTAAGCACTGAAAAATAAAACATTACAATTTCAATAGGGCCTTTGCACGATCAGTGTATATTTTCTGTGTGTTGGCTCAGATTACACAGGGTTGTGGTCCTGGGTTGTGATTGGAGTGTGATTGGACACATATGCAACAGGCTGTGGGGTATGGCAAGGAGATGTATTGTGGTTCCATCTTTGTGTAGCGTGAACCAGGCCCTCATGTCACCTTCATGGAGTCTGTTTCTGATAGCTTAAAAAAGCTAATGAACTAAAATAATTATTATTGTAATCAACTATACCCAGTTAGTTTACATTTGGCTATTTAAAAGCAAATTATGTAAGCTATTTTATTTACTTGCCTTATTGTGAAATAATCTGTGTTTCCTGTCATCATAAGCAGTGTATCTGTTTGGGACTTTTACTGCGAAGGGTCCCCAATGGAGGTTGTTGCTTTTTTGTGAGTGATGCGTTGACTAGTTGTGAGAAAGTAAACAGGCATATTGTCCTGGTTCAAACACACATTCTTCATGTCCTTAGTATACTATTACCTCTCAGTATAGGTGAAGTAACTCTTTACTACATTTATAATGGTTAATAGGAAGCAAGAGAGAGAAACAGACAGAGGGTGTGGGTGTGTCCATGTGTCAGTTGCTCCTTTGGAGGTGGTCAGAAAACGGAAGTAAACAGGTATTTCTCTTCTCGCTGTGATCTCCGATTGACTTTTTTTTGGCCAGCATTGGTGGAAATAAGGTTGTTGCTTCAGTTCCCTCTTCTCAACTAACGTTTCAGTCGCTGACACACACAAACCTGTGAGAGGCAGGACACTATAGTTAGATATCGTAGGTTTTTACAATTCTTACAGTTATGAAATGGGACATCATGAAACCGCGGTTATCATGAAATCGCTCAATCACGACGTCCCTAGAGAGGCGACGGCGTCATCATGTGAACTAAGCATGGCACGGGATTGGCTGGTTTACTGCCCCCACCTCAGAAGACGCTGCAACAATGTGCACCATGCATTTTAACAGACCTGACTAATCAATTACTAAATTAGTTGCTAACTATTTTTTACAATCAATTAAATTGATTATGTGTTGCAGTCCTACACTGAAGTGCAACAAAATGTGAAATTGCCACTTTTTTCACTGTGTTCCTAAATTGACTTTGTGTGGTGATGCAGTCATCTAGAGGCCTTAAATTTAACCAAGGAGAGTAGAGGTTTAGGGTTCCCACACAATGCTTTCAATGCATTACACGTGCTAACATGTTTCATTTAATTAACTTAAATCTGTCTTTGTCTTTCCTTTTGTGAAGGTCGTCCTGGGATGTTTGATTTCACTGGAAAAGCAAAATGGGATGCCTGGGAGAAGCAGAAAGGTATACTTATAATTATGTGGATACAATTTTCAGCACTTTGTGTATATAATGTTATTGTCCTTGTATGATTCAGTCATCTCCAGACTGACGGCCTGAATGGAACACTTTTAACCTATGTTGATGTAGCACTGACCCCAAAGTATTCATGTGCATGTTGTCACATCAGTTTAATGTTGAACTTACCAATCATATTTTACTTTTCAGAGACCCTGAAAATGCGACTACCAATTCCGATCAAATGCTTATAGTTACATAATGTTGAATAGGGAAAGCAGAAAATTTAGGGGCACACCTTATATCGACCTGCAATGCAATTATTCACATTTCCCCCATAAATAGAGTCAGGGCTCCAGACTAACTTTTTCCACTACTAGCACTGGTTTTAGGGGCTCCAGCACAAAATTAAGGTGCACCACATACAACGACAATACAATGCAACACATTCATATTTTACATCTTAACTGTTTCACTGAAACAGGTTTTGGTAATAGAGCATTTACAAAATAACAACCACAACAAAACAGGTAAATCCCTTACAGAATGCCTCTCCTTCCGCTCCCTTTAGAGCACATCCCCCTTAGGACCACTAGGGCCTAGCACCTCTGAAGGCCAACCCTTGTAGCTCTTTTGCCCTGACTGAACTTCATCTGTTTAGCCTCCTTGGCATCAACATCCTTCAAGATAGTTCCCTCAAGAATTATTCAAATCCTCCACTGTGTCCCGGCTCTCTGACATCCTTTTTTGTGCTGAGAATCCTATCATATATTATTCTAAAATTCGCTATTCTGCATTATACTTTAAGTACATCCTGATTAGGGCTGGGTATCGCCACTGATTTCCCAAATCGATTTGATTGCGATTATCAAGTTCTCGATTAGGTTTGGATTTAGTCTACAATACCAATTTTTCTTAGATATGAAAGAAATTCTCAGGAAACTAAAGCTGTAAACTGTGAAAGGAAACCGCTAACCTGGTGCATTATTAAAAATATTAAGGTTTTAACAAATTTTGTTGGATGATATATTGTCCCATAAATTATTGTGATAAATATTATAATTTTAAAACATGTTCATACCGCTAAAAAAATAATATTAGAGCATAATATGGGAAGTACACCCTTTCAAAGAGCAATTCTTAAGAATATTCAGTTTGACATTTGAATTAGAATAATAATATCCTCAATAAATATACCATTGATAAAATAAACCACACACAACCAAAATATTTGGCCCAGGGTATATGTAACCAGCTAGGCAAATAGGGTGGGTTGGTTATGATTTAGATAACAGTTGCCAGTTCACTCAAGAACGAGTTCAAAGTTCAGTTCATACAAGTGAAAATTAACTAGTTCAAGTTCATAGTTCTTTTTTAACATTGTTTAACAAAGTTCACGGTTCCAAAAATGAAGTAGCTCACGTTCATTTGTTCCATTTGATGATTTAAAAGACAAACTAACTAGTTACTAATAGTTCACTTTAACACTGAGTCCTGACTGTGTGCATCATGTCTCGTGTTGTGCTGAGCGCGCACAAAATATTGACAAGTCATTTTTCATGATGTTTAAATGCAGCCTCATAAACTGTGGAGTGAATCAAACAAACACTTTGTGTGCAAAAATTCATGTACTGATCAGGTCCTAACAATGTGATGAATGTTAATTAGTTAACATTGAGCAGCTATGGACAGAGAGAAACTCTGTATTTTCACTATTTGTTTCCACTGTTCTTCAACAAAGTAACTTTACATTCACGAGCTGATCCTGCTCCTCTTCAGAATCAGAATCCTTTATTGTCAATGTTCAACATTGTCACCAACATTAAAACTGTGAAAATTAGTTTTAGGAGCTCTTCTTGTTGCAGCAGCATTTATCCGACATTTATATAATCAAAACAAAAATTAAGAAGAAAAATCTAGATGTACATTTTTTTAAATATAAACAGAAGAATGAAAATAAACAATGAAAATTAAATAGTGTAAGTAGCCAAAAGGATCCAGACGAAAGGTGCGGCAGGTACAACAGTGCAATTGGTACAGTAAGACAGTCAACCTGAGTATTTTACTGCAATTTAAACAGTTCTTTAAACAGTTCTTGGATTGTGTGGGGGTGTGTGTGTGGGTGGGTGGGTGGTGGGGGTTTCAAAATTGACAAAAGGCCGTCTGGAGTGTTGGGACCATGTGGTTGAGATCACATGAATGTGTTAAGTTTGGGGAGATGAGTGTGTGAGTTTTGGTGCCAGGTTAAAGAAAGTAGTTAGATGCATGCAAAGAAAGTGAACAGCATAACAGAACTAACATTAACTTTGAAATAACATATTACCAAATATCACAACACAAGTCAAACTTATAAACATCACATGAAATAGAATTAAAACAGTCCTTTGCTTAGCCTAGTGTAACAATAAAGCCTAGTTGTGTTACCTGTCCATGAAAAAGGGGGAAAGGTCCTTTTTGATGTGCTGTTCGAAGTCCAGTGAAGTGGTTTTGTTGGTCTGTTGGCTCCTTTTGTGCATATGTTGGTCAGAACTTGTGTTGTGGCTAATTGTGCTGAAGTTCTTAGGCAGGCTCTCGCATAGCTGCCTTTGGAAGATCTTGGCTGGCATGCGTGAAGTTGGAGAGCCTGGATAGGGAGGAAGTCTACCTGGCTGGGAGAGCTGGAGTTTTTGCCCTTTGACCTTGCTAAATAGCTGCGTGAAGGCTCCACTCCACTTACGCATTGTTTTAAAGGTCCAGTGTGTAAGATTTAGGTGAAAGGAAACATTGATAGAAATTTAATGTATAATAATCCTCATGATGTTTTCACTAAATATTTTCATTGTCTTTACCCTACAAAATGCCCTTTGTATTTAAATACTTAAATATTTAAATGGTTAATAAATGGTTGTATTTATATAGCGCTTTTCTAGTCTTGATGACCACTCAAAGCGCTTTACACTACAGTTTTCCATTCACCCATTCACACACACATTCATACATACAGTGCTTCTATAGCTAGCACTTTTTTGTTGTTCTATTGGGCAGTATGGGGTTCAGTATCTTGCCCAAGGACACTTTGGCATGCAGATGGGAAGACTGGGGATTGAACTTCTGACCTTCTGGTTGGAGGACGACCGCTCTACCCCTCAGCCACAGCCACCCATTTACTTACTTTACTTTCTCCGGAGGCCGCCATGTTTTTTTTACATGAGTCAAGACTGGACAAAATAAACAGATTTTGAGTTTTTATGACAACTAATGGCTACCACAGGTTCTTTTCCATGTTTGGAATAGGAGGGTGAGGTGAGGGGTATTCAGCTGCAACATGCAATTTCAACAGTAGATATCACAAACTTCTACACACTGTACCTTTAGGGAAGCTATGAAGGACCACCCAACCATCTCCCTTGGTGAGCAGTTCCTGAACGAAGATAATCTTCTTCATTTATACTGGTTATTAGTCACAATGCTACCAGATACTGTGAGGCTTATCCCATAAGAGAGGTGACAGCTAAGCAGCTAGCTTCAGCTCTGTTGAATTTTCTCTCAAGTAAGGATCCCTAAAGAGGTGTTGACTAACCAGGGTACCAATTTCATGAGTCGCACACTCTCACAGGCCCATCAGCTGTTAGGGATTAGGAGAGTAGGGACTTAGCTTCTCTTTCTTATGTCCTGAAAATGCGGGAGCAGCTCCTGAAGTCTACAGCAATCGTCGGAGAGAACCTTCTCTGGGCACAGGCAAAGGAATGGTATGACCAGACAGCCAGGCAGCAGAGTTTCGAGGACACCTTTTGGACATTTTCAGTTTCACAGACTCATTTCCGGCAGCTTACCTTAATGATGTTGTGGTGTTCATCAACTCATTGAAAGAACATCTGAGCCACCTGCAGACAGTGTTGCTGAAAATCAAGGATGTAGGCCTCACCATCCACTCTGACAAGTGATTTTTGGCCAGACGAGAGACCCATTATTCAGGGTTTGTTCTGGGGAAGGGACTTATCCGACAGTTGGGGAAGGTGGAAGTTATCATGTTGGCTGAAAGACCCACGACCAGTACAGTCATGTTCTTCATGGGCCTGGTTGGCTGGTACAGTCGGTTCATTCCCCACTTCTCAACCATCTCACCAGGAAGAACCAGCCAAACAAGGTGTTGTGGACAGAAGAGTGTGAGGAGGCATTCCAAAGCCTAAAGGATTAACTGAACTGTGCAGGGCGCTTGTCTTGAAAATCCTTGATTTCGAACAGCCTTTCTTAGTCCAGACTGATGCATTGGAGGTAGGCATTGGCGCAGTGTTACTGCAAGTTGAACCAGAGAGCCTCCAGCCTGTTGCATAGATAAGTAGAAGCTCCTCGAGCATGAGGGCATATATTCTGTGGTGGAGAAGGAGTGTCTGGCCATCAAATGGGCACTTGACTCCCTAAAGTACCACCTGTTGGGGAGGAAGTTCACCCTGGAGACAGACCAGTGCACATGAAGGATGCAAACTCCAGAATCCCAAGGTGGTTCCTCACAATGCAGCCGTCCACTACAGGAAGGGAACTCAGAATGGCACAGCAGACTTCCTTTCCAGGACTCCACATAGGTTACCTTCAAAGGGGGGTAGGTGTCACAGGGTAAGCCTGCGCCCTTTAAACACACTCACATAAAGACTGAATTGTTTGTCACTTGTTTCCTCGCTTCTGTGTGTGTGCTCTGTGGTTTGGACCTGGAAATGACGAAGCTGTGATGGAGGGTACCACCCTATTTTTAACAGGGGTTACCGCGGAAAGGTACAAAGCATGGTGGAGTTGGTGTGGGGCATTGGCAAAATACAGTTTTAATAGTTACACTGTGTAAATAATTGATAGGAGTCACAGCTGTTCCTGAGATTTCTGTGCTTGATGATGTATTAGCATCAATTGAGAGCAGGAGATGGTGGTATTTCAAATAGATAGAATTGTATCGTTAAAGAAGTGCATAAAGACAATGCTATTCAAGGATGAAGGAATACTGGATTTAATGGAGCTGTGACTCTCTTCTGCCTTGG